CGCTGGGCGAAAGCAGCGTCCAGCCGGGCTCGGTGGTCTAAGGGGCTCAGGGCGCAGTGGCCCGGTAGGAAGGCGCGGCGGCTGCGGGCTCCGTTCTCGGATGAGCGCGGTGGCCTTCACGGCCTTGCGGGAACCAAGTACCAGCCCAATAAAGTTAGCCTGAGCGCTCGTCGAGAAAAGGTAAAAAGGTGAAGGAAAGAAGAAAGAACGGAAAAGAGACCCAAGGTTTGTGTCTGATGAAGTGACAACGCGCTTCTGGGGAAATGAGGTTGCGTTACTTGGTCACCAAGTGTGAGGCTTTTGCTATTGACACATAGTCCCTAGCTCTCTCTAATTTTCCGCAGCTCAATCCAGGTAAGTCTTTCATCGCCCTCAATAAACAACCCCTGTGTGTTAGTTTGTAGATTCCAATAATACCTCGAGATAACCACCGTAGGTATCCGCAGCTCCGCCCACCCCGCCTCCCGCTGGGCGCTCTGGGGCGGGGATGGGTAGGGGTGTGCCCTGCCCCCCTTCAGCGGCTAGGGGTCTGGACTGGTTGCAGTTTTCACAGTGCACCCTGCTCCGAAGGGCATCTGTGAGGCGGCAAAGCTAACGTTTGCACCAAGTTTAGCGGTTAGTCCTGGTACATGTAATATCTGGTTCCCCGGACAACGAGGTGCGATGTGCTGAATAAATTAATTGGGGTTGGCTCATTTTCTCTTTTGTTCCTATGGGTTACTGTTACATGGCCCGTGGCTAGTTTGTTGAAAGTTTAATTTTCCCTGTATCAAAATAGAAAGGGCTTAATGTGACCTTAAATCTGTAATTCACCAACATGTTTTATTATTAAGAGCTTCATTGGTGTTCATATGAGTTTTGAGCAACATAAAATCATCTTCATTTTAAGTCCCATAATAAGTAAAGTCTTTTAAAATGCGGATTAAAAACATCATACCTTTTTTGAAGAGAAAAATAACGTGTTCTAGAGTGAAAATCCGAAGGTATTGGTAAACTTTTTCTCTCCTTTATGTCTTTACCTAAGAGCTATTGTACTCATACTTTGAAAGGCATTTTAATAACATACACATAAGTCACACTTTAATGAGTCCTATCATAATTATTTCTTTTTGAAGGGGTTTGTATGCTATTGTAAATATATTTTATGTTATTGATTCAGCAATATCCTTATTATATATATTTTTAAGAGTTTAAAAACGTATCCCATGCCTAGTTTTTATAGCGAATATCTATTGTTTGGAGATGCCGTGTTTACTATGTCTGAATCAGAACCAAAAAAAGGGATTCTAGGCTTGAAAAACAGTGTGGTGCCTAAACAGTGACTTGTCACATATTGTATTAATATGTATAGTTTGAATTCCCCTTTGATTTCTGAGTACAAGTTATTGGAAAAATATCAAACAGAGCCATCCTTTTATATGGCAGGACTCTCCCTGGTGCTTTGGGTATTTTATTTTGAACAGGTTTCCAGAATATCCTATTAGTCTGAGAAAAAAAGTCCAACATAGGTCCCAGCTTCTGGAGTGACTTCTTGGTCACTTTGGAAAAGCTGACTACAAAGACAGTAAAAAAAAAACAAAAACCCAGCCTTATCCTTTTCAAAGGGACAAACAAAATAATAGCTATGAAGTACCCTAAAAAGTAAAATGTGCTACAAAAATATCAAGTCTCCAATAAAAAGCAAATACAAGTGACATGGCTGCCTGGGATTTGGACTAAAATTGAGCTTCTGTGCTCCCGGTTGTAGGACAGTCAAATCCCCTGAGGCTCACAGGGCCATTAAGAACCTTGTGGGCAGTTTTAGGAAACTGCTAGGGCTGTGGGGAGAGTGAGGCTGCTTGCTTAGTGTGAGGCCCTATGCAAGGGCTTTGGTTGCATTTTCACTTGTAATGCACAATACAATCATATGACAGCACCTCCTGTTTTCATTTTGCAGAAGGGAAAACTGCGGCTCAGAGAGGCTCATGTCACAAAAGTGTCAGTTGTAGAACCAGGATTAAAAAACAATCAGAACTCAGTGGTTTAAAACTATTTTGATAATCTGATAAATCTTTAAGTGTCTCCAGAAGAAAAGTGGCCATATCCACATATATAAAAAATGTTCCCATATAATTTCAAGGTCCATCTACCTTCTGAAGCCCTGACCTGGGCTTTCAGCTCACAATCCATGCTCTATATCTGCCACTGAACGAGACAGAAAGCCTATACGTACCATACATGTGCAAGTACATATAACGTTTTTCTAAATGTAGTCCCTGAATTTTGTAAATTTAACTGAGTAAAAAAATCATTTAATAACGGAAACAAAAAGAAAAATGATATGTTAACATTGTAATTGAGTCTGTAAACATCTAAAGTGCAGTTTACAACAATGGTGCTTATTTGAAACCAGATCTTCTGTTGTGACTCCTTCAACTATCCTGCAATAGCAAAGAACATAAACTTGTGTCTACACTTACAGAATGGAAACAGTTTTGTTTGTTTGTTTTTTCCCTCTAGAGATGGCAAATCCTGAAGTCGTTACAAATAGCTGTAGCTCTCAGCAGGAGGAAAATGGCTGCACGTTTAACCAGAATACATCTCCCTCCGAGGAGCTTCTATTAGAAGACCAGATGAGGCGAAAACTCAAATTTTTTTTCATGAATCCTTGTGAGAAATTCTGGGCTCGAGGCAGAAAACCATGGAAACTTGTCATACAAATTATAAAACTTGCAATGGTGACCATCCAGGTGAGCACCTCAGGTCAGAGGTTTGTTAAAACCCTCTTTTAATAACAAAGAGGCCCATGGCTAGTGGTTTTCTTGTTATTTTAAAATATTTTTTTATTGATTTCAGAGAGGAAGAGAGAGAGAGAGAGAGAGAGAGAGAGAGAGAGAGAGAGAGAGAGAGAAACATCAATGATGAGAATCATTGATTGGCTGCCTCATGCATGCCCCCACTGGGGATCAAGCCCGAAACCCAGGCATG